TACTCTAAAAAAAGAAATGTTCTGATTTGGGTCTCATGATTAACTTGAAGAGAAGTAGGTAGGTGGAAATTTGTAGAACCGGATAAAAGGCTGTCTGACCATTGACAGCGAAATTGTGGAAAACTTACTAGAGCAGCTGTGTCTTTGGAGTATATTGGCTGCCGAGGAACGAGTGACCTACGAAGTTGGAAGACGCTGTGCTGGCATTAGCAGCAAGCAACAGGCTAAGCGAGTTTGGGAGTGACAAAGTGTTGGCAAGAGCACAAATCTGCGGATATACAGAGCTTGCTTTATGGTCTAGAGATGGTACCACTGATCAAAAGTAGTATGATCTGGTGTCATGCCTTTCGTAAGGGAAGATTAAGATATCAAATTAGACTAGCCGAAGGGCTGCAAACAAAGCGCTTAGGATGATGGGATCGTAGTTAACGAGTGAACGATAGCCGACTTGGAAAGCGAGTATTGAACACAAAGCCTATTGGCAGGTGGCAGTCAGGAAGACCTCTAAAAATATATAGAGATGTCATTAGAAATGACATGATATCGAAACGACTGAAAAAATGAACATGCATTTATTGGGTTCAGATAAAATACTTGCACGGCACCCGGCATCGCTTTCGATGCAATGGTTGAAGAAGAAGAAGTCGAAGAAATGTTAGTGTTAAGCAAAGAAAATATGTTTATTTCAAAACTTATCTTTCATTCTAGATGAGAATAGTGAATATGGATAGAGAGTAGAATGCATCAAAGTCTAGAAATGTGAAGGAAAACAGCTTGCGGAATTCATCCGAATGCATTTGAAACTACACAAAGCTGCGAATTGCCGAATCTTTCATGTGGTCATTTTCAGGACTTTGATGTAACGACGGAGACAGAACAGTTTTATGGAAATGCTCGAAATGTGATCGATACCAGTCTCCAAGAAGGACCAAAGAATCACTTGATCTTCAATGCTTGTATTTGGAAAATATGAGGTGTAAAATTTGTGTTATTTTAATCACTCCAAGGAGGAAACTGATTACTTAAAGATTTCGCTCCTGGATCGAACGTTGGATAGCTGTGAAAATGGACGGGGTAAATTTGAATATTTTTCGTTCTAGTAAGGTTACGCAAGGTCAGGAGATGGATTAATATCTTTAGCCCTTGACTCTGAGCAAACTATGGGATTTGATTGATTGATCGATTAGTAGTGAGGCACTTTGTATAGCACATTACTTGTATCGTATGAAGTACTGTACAATTTACTATATGTCTCCGAAGATTGAGTATTTGTTCGCACGTTGGTTTTCATGCTGAAAGCAGCGTACATCGTTTATTCGTTTATCGATGTACAGCGTAAATAGTGTGATGTCGGATGATTAACCATTATTTAAAAATACCGTCAGTGTATTTTAAAAATGTAATATCATTAGTTTATATGCACTGCCCTGTTGCATGTCTTATGCAAGTACGTCATGTATTAGTTAAACGAAAGAATGGAATGTATTGTGTATAATGATTGAGTACTTCGTTCGTTCACACGATTATTCGGATGATCGATCGACACCGATATTTCGAATAGACGTTCTGGTTACAAATATTAGAGCAACTGCGAACGGCAGAGAAAGCTTCCAGAACTCCTTCCCGTCTCTCTTTCTTGAAGAAGGCCCGCGAGGCACGGCAGAAGCGTTGACAAATCATCTGATTAGCGATGTTGTTATCGTTGTGCATAAATAAACAGGTTTATGCCGTTTTCAGTATATGCGATGACACAGCGTAATATAAATAGCAGGCATTCGATAGCTATAGACAAAACTAACAACAACCGATCTCAGTGCCTTTGTTTTACTGGCGAAGTAGTTAGCTACCATTTGCTTTACGGATGATCAGTGTCATTTGTTGGTCGAACCGTTGGCAGTAAAATGAAGATTTTAGCGTCGGTTTTCTAGTTGTTTCTAACATTCGAGCCCCTGCTGCTTAACTGCCGAAGAAGACATAGAATCCAAACGATTGTTTCGAAATCATAATGCATTACGTACCAAAAATGCAGGTTCTGCATCAGAGCATGTTATTGAGCCTCACCTGAAACCGATTTTCTCCACAGGGCAACATTTCTTGCCCACAAGTGCACAGGATGTTATTTAAATAGGTCACGAGTCCGTACCTCGTTGACGGTATCTTATTTTGAATACGTCTGAACATCGGTGCCTCACTCATCACTGTACTGACTAATACCGTGCTTTTCATGTCATTAATGATGCTTTAGTAGTCTCCGTCTTTGTATGATTTAAAAAGCGTAAAACATGGGTTCTTACGCTTAGAGGACGTATTGCTCTAGCTGATGATATGGTTCACCATGGATCTGTGCTCAGCAGACCGTAAAATTCTATGACCTGTTTAACTGACTCCCTAATCTGGGAATAGAAGGCGATGCTATAGTGTGTAGTACCCGCTTTTGGAGCACTTATTCGTCTGTTGACTTGCTCTGTTACAGGAACCGATGTTCTTGCTGTGCAAAAAGTGTTATGGTTTTGAAAACCTATTAGAATTCCATATCTTCTTCT